GTTGCAGAAGATACATTTTCAAATTAAATTGGATATTGAATGTGAATTGCGGGACATTAGTTTCGGTGGACTAGGTCTTTAGGTTTATCACTAACGGTATGAAAATCACTAAAATCCATAGAAATGCTATCGCTTCCTGGGGCCATTCGAAAGCGACTATCTACAAAGTTAATATTGTTATGCGCTGGGGTTCGGGATAAATAAAATTCTACCGAATTACAATTTAACACTGTTATTAGCACTATTAACACTTAAAACACTCCACAAACACTTTAAAATTCTCAATTCGCTTCTTCCGCTTCGCTTCAGGTGATCCGTTCGCTATTTCGCTTCGAGTAGTTCCGATTACTGACTGACTGCGTGCCATCTCTGCAACGCTTTTATATCCGATACCACATCCCTATAATTATCAAAAATATTCCACATAAGCTGAGTATTGTGTGTTTCTGCTGACAATAGATGGCGTTGTACTTCCCGAGCGTTCTAGATGCTACTAGATCCTTCGATATTCGTTCGGCTATTCGGCGATAGATGGCGTTACTCTTACCGATGTAAGAATATAAATCGAAAATAATACGTTTAAAAAGAACATCTCAATACAATTACAATATCTAAAAGCCTACAGAGTACAAAAACGAATCTCATTTATTTATACAGTAAGTTTCCTTCCTGGAAAACTGTAGTGGGGAAAAATTTGATGTATCTGAGAGTGTACAAAAAAATATATATTCAAATACTGGCTTTCGCAATATGAGGATTATATCATAGTCTTGTAATTTTAATAAAACATAATTATTATTTGTATATTTCAAAATAAAGGAACTGTGTTAACGATGATGTTCGTTTTTATATTTGAAAATGTGTTCTATATTAATAAATTTCATTGAATTCACTTACTTAACACAAAATAAAGACTGTGAAATGAATGATTTATACTAAAATAATGATGTATCCCGCGAAAAATACGGCATCACATCAAAATTTATGAAACAGCAATATTAAACACATTCAACTCATCTCGGAAACAAATATTTAAGTTAATCAATTAAACTTTGTAATAACAAAAGCAATAAAGCTAAACTTGGATCGTTTGTAAAATACAAATATTAACACGTTCAAATTGTGATAACAAAAGCTTAATGAAACAATTTGGCGGCTGTAGTTTATCCATGACGTCCATTTCTTGATAAGACGAATGAATCCATTAAGCCATGAGACCTAGGTGAAACTTTGACGGTCACCTTAGACGTAAATGGTGCCATGATGATCCTCCTAGAACATAGGTTCTCAAAGTCGACAGTATCGCCTACCAGTAGGCGCCAAGGGGGCTAGCTGAAGGGGCGATTGAAAGTTTAAGTAAAATTTGGGGGTGCTAAATAAGAATCGGTAGGCGGTGAAAGACATAATGGAACAGATTATGTAAAAAAAAAAAACCTTGTTATTATGTCTTGTTCCTATTCTACATGTCACAATATTTTAATAGTTCCATTAAGAATACAATCCAAACAAGAAAAAGCGATGTGGCGTTCAAAACCATTCGCAAATAGCTAATTTTTCAACAGTCAAGGATATAGCTGATAGATATAGAGGATAGATGCAAATGTTCAAGCGATTGGATATCTGGAAAATTTTGCATGGAAACAAATACTTCAACTTTACCACGACCTCGTGACAAAAGCTCACGACCCATATATTGTTAAGTGGCCGTTAATTTTATAGCCTTGCTTCATCATATTTTTTGAAGTGAAACTTCTTTAGGCGCATGGAGGTACAATTTTTACAGAACGTCACGCAGGTATGCAACGGAAGTGACATCAAACTACTATTGAAATTAAGTACTTGTCAAATGTCAATAGTAGTAGTTGTTGTATTTTTCCAACTGGAAAGGCAAATGTATCATACCATACAGCCTAATATTTTATAATTTTTTTGTGAAAAATGTTAATAGGAATTGAAATGAAAAGAATTTGGAACATTAATCAAATAACATGAACTTAAATTAGTCAATTCAATTGGCAAAATATTAGTAATTTACAATTTAGAAATCTAAACATAATGTGACTGTTAACACTGAGGTTTGAGATTGACATTTGACAGACTTTTGGCGGGAACATATCTTCCTTTTTCCCTTCCTCTAAGTCTCGGAAATCTAAAGTTTTAGATTTGTATAAATATAAGCAAGACTTATAAATTAGTTCGCCAAAAAAGTTTCACTTCTGACATGTGTACTTTGTACGCACGCACTTTTTTTTTCTCCTCTCTTTGCACGTTAGGAAACAAATTATATGATATTTTCACGCCTCCCCATAAATAAGTCGACTTAAACGAAAAAGTAATCAAATTGGGCGTTCCAATTTATTTAATAACCGTGTCTGTCATGGTAGGGGCACCCTCGCGTATATATAATTTTGACGGGTCGACCGAAAAGAATGGATTATTTTATTTATATGTATTACATAAAGAAATAGCTCGTAAAAACGCTCATATAATGAAGTAAAGGATGGGCTCTAAATATAAGCCGATTTGGTATTAAGGGCAGGCTTGTTTTGGGCAAAAGTTATTATTAGCCTGATTTTGTTTGGAACGTATGCTTTTTAAGCTATTGCAAAGCTTTTATCGCGTACCTTGAGCGCGGCGACCGAATCATGAAATTCCGTAACGAAAAAAACCTTACACCCCTCACTCAGCCTACCGTGTAGCTAGCGTTCAACACATTCACACGTTGCGCTTGTGTAGTGTTTGAGAATAAGCGCGTGGCGTGACGTCACACTGCATGCGCATCATGAAAAGTCTGCTCATCTCTCTCTCGCGCGGTCTAGCTTATGAGTGTGAAGGGGACGGTTTTGCTTTTATTAATGTTTAATATAGAGTGGTCTTGTTTTATTATTGTTTTAATATTAAATTATCATTGTCTTATTATAATTGCATAATTTGATAAAAAATGCTATGCAATAGCTTTACCGCGGCAGTTCCCGAGTGCCACACTTTTTTTATATAGTATATAGATTAATTTGTTTTGGAATATATTTTTTTTCTATTTAAAGTTGGTTTTTGTTAAAGCATGTCTATTTACAATTATTATGATTTCGAAAGGTAGAGAGAAAGAGAGAGAGTATGCTTTGTTATATACAAACTAATAAAAAAAAAGCGAAATATTGAATACAAAAAAGTACAATTGGCGGCCTTATCGCTAAAAGCGATCTCTTCCTGACAACCATTAAGTGGACAAGAATCAATAGGAGCCAAATTACACGCGTTGTACCTTTAAATTGAAATAGATACATACACACACATATGTACATACACGATATGTACACATACAACATACATCTATATATTAATACGTGAAGCAAAAACTTTGTATCCCTTTTTACGAAAATTGCGCGGACGGAGGAGTATGAAATTTTCCACACTTATAGAGAATATAGAGAAGAAGTGCACAATGCCAATATATTTTTTTTTAAATAATGCATAAAAGATACATTAAATCAATAAAGGAAACATTACACACACTACATACCATGTATTTGACGCAACACGCATGCATACTATTTATTATAAAACTTTTGTTCTTGACGTCTGTTGTCAAATTGAGAATACATTAAATATTGTTTGTGTTTGTTAATATTTTTAAACGGTTTTATTTAGCTCGAGCCGTACGGAATTTGTTTTTTATTTATTAAACGGTTTTATTTAGCTCGACCCGTACGGAATTTGTTTTTTTTTATTTATTTGGGTCAAAATTAGAAATTGAAATTTAAGCACCTTCCCGTTGTCAGATTGATCTGAAATTTGGTACACACATTTAATTTAGATGACAATACAATATAATAAAATCAATGACATTATAAATCTAAGATGGCCGCCGATACAAAATGGCGGATTACATATTTTTCCTTAAACCCCTCAATATGGGTATCAAATGAAAGNACTAGGCAGAATAGCTTTTAGGCATATTAGACTAAAATAAAAACGTGGGGCCCATTATTATTTCTGTATTACTTTCTACTATACTAAGTGTGGATTGCATCGACTTATTATAATCGTCATCATCATCATCCTAGCGGTTTATCCCGGTCGCATCCGAAACCTCATAGCTCCGGAGTCCAGGGTCCGCTGAATCGACTTATTCTATTTCTATACACATAATTAAGATTTAATCGATACGATACGATTTAATCGTTACCTTTATTGTATTAATTTTATACTTACCGACATTTCTAGTACTATACGTTTTTTAATGTAGTCACGGAAGTCTGGGTTATTTTTAAGTGATATCCCAAATTTCATAACGATACCACAATCGCCTTTGAAATAATATATTTATTTTACTGGCGGTAGGACCTCTTGTGAGTCCGCACGGGTAGGTACCACCACCCCGCCTATTTCTGCCGTGAAGCAGTAATGCGTTTCGGTTTGAAGGGCGGGGCAGCCGTTGTAACTACACTGAGACCTTAAAACTTATATCTCAAGGTGGGTGGCGCATTTACGTTGTAGAAGTATATAGGCTCCAGTAACCACTTAACACCAGGTGGGCTATGAGCTCATCCACCTATCTAAGCAACAACAAAAAAAAAACTTGAGAGGTGTCAAGGGACACCCGGATGGAGCAAAGTTCCTTTCGATTAATTAGTGAAGGAATTGTAATAAAATTTTATTTTTTTTAAGTTATAATAATATTTTTATTATTTATTATTTACAAAAAACCTGTATACACTCAACAAAAATAATCGTCGCGACACCACACTGTTCAATGCGAAATAGAAATGAAAATATCTGGCTTGCTTTCTATAAGAGAGAGAGAGAGACAGAGAGAGAGAGACAGACAGACAGACAGAGAAACATGCGACGCCACACAGCTTACAATAGCTTAATATAGCAAAAAGTGTTGTGACAACTTTTCGTAAGAATTTTTTCCGTCTAGCCCCCTCTCACAACGCGCGATAAGGAACTTCGTTCCAAAAAAACTTTATTTAAATGTTTATAACGTCTTGTTCCAGGTGTACCATGCCCCGGGTGATGAAATGTCTGATCTACATAGGAATAGCAGCGTTTCTTCATCAGCTACCGCGCTTCTTCGACAGATGCTACACGCCTCACAAGACTGTGTGGCGGGGGCGCGTTGAGGAAGTCTGCAGAGTAATTACATTTAATCTCAATTTTGTTACATTAAAGCCGGAACCCGTCGCAGATATAGACGGGGTGGTGGTACCTAGGCCAGTGATTACGTAAATTTCTAAATTTTACTAATATGAATTTCTGTAAGATCTTCTGTGATCCCTTCATCGTGGAAGTCTTGTTAAACACGCGTTTAATAAATATGAAGTAAAAAAATTAAATACAAATGACACTATTTAACTACACTTAAGATACTACTAACTATAACTATAACTACACTTAAGATTTTTGTAGGCAGCGGCTTGGCTCTGCTCCCGGCATTGCTGAAGTCCATGGGCAACGGTAACCACTCACCATCAGGTGGGCCGTATGCTCGTCTGCCTACAAGGGCAATAAAAAAAAAAGATCGTATCTTCTACTCCGTGTGTTCCTAGATCATTTCGCGCATCAATCCATACTAGATTGAATATTAGTTCCGATTACAGTTTTTATACATTACTGGTGGTAGGATCTCTGGTGAGTCCGCACGGGTAGGTACCACCACCCCGCCTATTTCTGCCGTGAAGCAGTAATGCGTTTCGGTTTGAAGGGTGGGGTAGCCGTTGTGACAATACTGAGACCTTAGAACTCATATCTCAAGGTGGGTGGCGGCATTTACGTTGTAGATGTCTATGGGCTCCAGTAACCACTTAACACCAGGAGGGCTATGAGCTCGTCCACCCATCTATGCAATAAAAAAAACTAGCTTGCTAATTTTTTTTATTATTTTTAAGATGTGCATCATGCTCTATTAGCTGGACTGATGAAGACAAATAATTCATTCATCGATGACGACCGCTGATATCAGCGACTTCAAATATTAATTACATCGCTTGAATAGCATAATAATCACAGCTGATCTTCCACCAATCTTATACCTTTAAACGAGCAATCCTTGTATATTAATATATATATATAATCTGAATCTAGGAAACGGCTCCAACGATTTTCATAAAATTTAGTATACAGGGGATTTCGGGGGCGATAAATCGATCTAGCTACGATTTATTTTCAGAAAATGTTGTTTTATTCTTGTTTTCATTAATCAACTCTTCCCGACATCTATTGGCGAATAATAATACTATTTTTTTTAATTGAAGGCAACTAACCGCTTTAAAGACAAAACAAGATGGCGTTATAAAAAAAAAAAAAGCGAGCAAAGCTCGGTCATCATCTGGTGATATGATTAACTGAAACAATTCTATTTACAGATCGAGATGGCCTCTTGGGTGAAAGCGCTCTCCGTCGACGCCTATTTCATCTCCTACTTCGGCTTCAGAGTTTTGTTCGTCCACTTAATCCCGTGCACATCCTTAGTTGTCCTGAACGTGCTCCTCTTCAGGGCCATGAGGACGGCCCAAATAAACAGACAGAAGCTGTTCAAAGAGAACCGGAAATCGGAGTGCAAGAGGCTCAGAGATTCTAACTGCACCACCCTGATGTTGATAGTCGTGGTCACGGTTTTCCTCCTCGTGGAAATACCCGTGGCCGTCGTCACTATCCTCCACATAATATCCAGCACGATTGTCGAGATCTTGGACTACCATATCGCGAATATTCTCGTTCTGGTAACGAATTTCTTCATTATCGTTTCCTATCCAATCAACTTTGCTATATATTGCGGTATGTCGCGTCAATTCAGGGAGACCTTCAAAGAGTTGTTTATCAGAGGCACGGTTACCAGTAGGAAGAACGGTGGCTCCAGTAGGTACTCTCTTGTCAACGGCCCGAGGACCTGTACAAACGAAACTGTGCTCTAAACCCCCATTCATAAAGTCTCTTATGAAATGTATCTTAAGATTTTTTGTACTGTCTGTATTTTGGTAAACATATCAAAGGTTTATGAAAATTTAAGCTGATTTTTATTTTTCGTCAGCTAAACAGATCAAGCAAATACGGTCAGCGTGTTAATGTTAACACATTTATTAATTCATACACAAAATTCATTGTAGAATACATACTATTAATTCATACACAACATTCATTGTAGAGTAGGTAAATACTACTGGTTAAAAAGGTTCTCTCGTAAAATAAAAATGTTAATTTAAACTTATTATTACGATAAATGTGCTAATATTGTAAATTAAAACGTAAAATTTATCTAAAATTGCTTTACGTATTTATATTTCAATTAAATTCAATTTTTAGATTTTCTCATGAAACTATCTAAGAATATATATATTACATATATGTTTAGAGATCTTTAGTATTGTACGTAAACGCTAAAGATAATATTTTTTAAGGCTTTAAAATGTATAAATGTATCAAACATTTTTTTCGGATTTTATACTAAGCAAGTTAATTCAAACAGTTCATCTGATACTTTTTCAAGGTCTTGTGGTTACCGTATCATAAATTAAGTATAAACTATTATATTACATTAAAAATATACTAAACTTTAAGTGTAATCTATGATACATTAAAAATATATTATAAGTATACTATATATCTGTAAGTACATGTTAAATTTTTTTATGGTTAGCTAACCACATCACCGGCAAATGGTAGAGCCCACCATTTAGAAAAAGTATCTAAAATATCTGTATAATATATTTATTTAGGCAAAGACAAAATAGTTAAGTACCACTTTTTCCTATGATTGTCGGCCTATTTTCTTTCATTATTTCTTTTTCCATCAGTTTCTGACTTTCTTCAGTCTAATTATTTTGGATATAGAAGGATAAAATTGTTTTTAATATGAATAAAATAAAAAATAAAATAATGACGTACATAAAACTGATCTTGATGTGTCCACGTTAATGTATATAAATATCCTTAGATAAAAGTATGTCTATAATTAAAAAAAACGTGCTTAAACTATTTAATATTTTATAAATATACACATAAGTTTGTGAGGTGTAACTTAATAAATTTTGTATAAATAATACATAATTAATTGTAATAACGTCTTTATTTTGTTGTTGTGAATAGTATTTTCGCTTATTTCATACTAAATATATAGATAAATGTGTGAAACCTAACTTAGTACCTATATTAGCCACGGTGAGATTATGAAAGTCTTTTAGAGGATTATTATTAAATATATCTTATGAAGTCAGTTATTCTTTTATTCTAAGCTAGTGTATCCTAGTCTTGATACCCTGTGCACAGTCAAGTGTCCCTAATTGAATAAGCAATATCTGTGTGCTTACGTTTGCCTACGTTTGCCGCCAGGGGCGCTGTTCCAACTCCATACCTACCGATTTGAGTTAACTTTTACGTGAGCGAGAAGTTAAAAAACTCGCTATTTTTTCCTAGGTAGGTGTGTAGGTAAGCTCACGGGGCTCAAACCGGAGAGTTGCTAACACTGACTCTAGCAAGAGCAGTGCTTCGCAGAATCTACCGCCGGATCGGAAACGCGACCCATTGGGAAGATCCGGCGAGAAACTCATAAATTTCATTTTTTTAAATTGCTTAGATGGGTGGACGAGCTCACAGCCTACCTAGTGGAGCCCATAGACATCCACAACGTAAATGCGCCACCCACCTTGAGATATAAGTTCTAAGGTCTCAAGTATAGTTACAACGGCTGCCCCACCCTTCAAACCGAAACGCATTACTACTTCACGGCAGAAATAGGCAGGGTGGTGGTACCTACCCGCGTGGACTCACAAGAGCTCCTACCACCAGTTTAACGACAAACACAAAATGAAATAGGGCAGTGGTCTTTTTACCTATTCTACTGACCTCTAGGGGTCATGCTAAATTCGGCGAACGAGTAGTTGAGCTTACGGGGCTCTAACCTGACGAATTTCAGGTCAGTCCAGCGGGTTGATGATTGGCGGCGTGATCTCTTGCCTTCCATCCAACCCTGAACATACGAAGCTAATAAAAACGTGTTCTTTTTTGTTTTTTGTTTTTTTTCTTACCTAAGCTGATAGCCTTGAGAGACCATGTCACCCTAACGTGTGTAGGTGAGCTCACGGGGCTCAAACCGGAGAGTTGCTAACACTGACTCTAGCAAGAGCAGTGCTTCGCAGAATCTACCACCGGATCGGAAACGCGACCCACTAAGAAGATCCGGCAAGAAACTCATTGGGCTAAGGTTAGAATAGCAATTCTAGAGAATATACAACTGAAATTAAAATTCCTTATTCGACATAACACCTCCAAATACGAATTGGCAACAAGCCTCTCAAATAGAAAACAGGATCAAACCGGTCCATTTAGTGCCATCAATAAAAATGAACAAATAAAATTCTCCATTATGTGTTCGCTCAAGCTCTTTCTCATTTCGACGCGAGCTTTTATTGCTCCAATAATAAGCCAATATCGTAAAAATGTTTTTCCCTGACGCAAATAAGTCTAGACTGTATCGCTTATAGACAAATAAGACATTAAGGCTCATAACTACACACAATGCGTTTGATGGAATCGATTATAATTAAATAAATCGATTTAAAAAAACTTTAAATTCGCGTCTAAAGGTACCACCACCCCGCCTATTTCTGCCGTGAAGCAGTAATGCGTTTCGGTTTGAAGGGCGGGCAGTCGTTGTAACTATACTGAGACCTTAGAACTTATGTCTCAAGGTGGGTGGTGAATTTACGTTGTAGATGTCTATGGATTCCAGTAACCACTTAACACCAGGTGAGCTGTGGCTTTGTCCAACCATCTAAGTAATAAAAATAAAAAGTAAACACTAGTATACATATTTTCCTTCTACTTTGTACATACATGATTATAATATTGTTAAATATTAGCAGAAACAATTTATCTATATTGGTTCACTCTAAGCGCTTGCAATTTACTACCCATCTTGAGGGAGTATCCCAATAGCTCAATGACTGGGGAGTGTTCCGCGTGGTCGGCCTCCGCTCTTCTGATGCCCCGACACCTCCAGACCTCTAAATCCAGCCCTGCCATGAATATTAGTTTCTCTGCCTCAAGCCGCATCTATTCACCAAAGAGACTCTTACCACTAGCACCGTGATCAAGTTCACAACTATTTTTACGATTACAAATTACCTGAACTTGTTGTATAATAACATAATTGTAAATTGTATAATATTAAATATGACGACGCTTGCATCTGAAAGTAAGTATTGTACTTTTTGACGAAGCATGTTGCTGATAACTTTATTTCAGTAATCTGACGAAGCATGTTGCGGATAATAACATGTACTTTTAGGTTAGGAATATTGTGTTCTTTTTTTTATAATAAATTAATATTTAACCATAACATAATACACAGTAGACATTTCCCAATTAGCTTCCCCAAGATAGAATTGTCTAGATGCCATATATTCGCGTGTTCAAATATCAATTTCTCTGACAGAATACGTACTACTATAACATACACGTGCTCACGAATAACCTTGTGCTATAAAATGAAACTCTAAGGATTTTTTTTTTTGTGTAATTATCGGAAAAGATGGGACAAGGTCATGTGGTAAAACAGGTTTGCTTGGGACTAGTGGCGGATTAAAGGTCCAGAGCGCTCTAGGCAATCACTTTATCGGCGCCCCTGTACCGGCCATAAATGGCCATCATAATACTATAAATTTTTACTAGTTGTTTTTGCAATTACGATGACGTTGTATCATCAAACCCTAGACTTTAGTAGACCTGGACATTTAGTTCAGGCATTTAGTTCTTAATCGTCGATATGTTATTTCTTTATTTATTTAAAAATTCTGAGCTCGCGCGCTCCTTGTAACTACACGCCCCTAGGCACGTGCCTAGTTTGCCTTACGGATAATCCGCCGCTGCTTGGGACAACCAGACAATCGACGGGCGGTCAGGCACCCCAAGTACCATTGGATAGACCAGATGAAGAAGGTCTTGCCGAAACTCCAAGCTACCCAGTGGCAGGAAACAGCACGGGACCACAGGGAATGGCTTCTGGGTAGAATAGTCTCTTGGTATCGGAGGTCCAAATCCCGTTTGGGTCGCTACGCAAAGACAGCTAGTTTAGTTAGTTCATCACCAGGGATAGAGAGTGAAGATCTGTGCAGGGTGGCTGGCAAGAGCTGGATGAGAGAAACCGAGGTTCGTGCTTAATGACGTGCAATTAGCCTAGATATCACGACTCTCGGACATGACGAGGACGACTGAAGGAGAATGAAAAACCATACACCAGTGCAATAATGGGTCCTTCAATCAGAACACCTTAAGTATACTTTTTTAGCAGAAATAAAGTACTTTCTATTCTCTAAATTCTAAAAAACTAAATCTGCCGCCATATATACATATTTATAATCTGAAGACGTATCACGAGCGAGGATTCGTTCTCGCAATTAACGTCTATTAGTTTTATTATGGCAACACTGGAGGTATTTGCTGCGGCAACACTCTGGGGATGCCCCGTCATTGATCAAATTGCATTCAATCAACAAATAATGCAGTGGAGATGGCCAATCGTAATTATATTATAAGAGGCGTGAAGGGAACATCTTCCCGATTCGCAATCAACCCCATCCAGATGAACACGTAAAACAATTTGACCTGTATAAGGCATAAGATAAAGAAATATTGAAAATTCGTAAAAATATCATCAATACGTACTCAGCAAATGTTCACGATTGAGTTCCACGGTGAAGGAATAACGTCGTGTAAAAAAAGCCAAACCCGCAAAATTATAATTTGCGTAATCACTGGTGGTAGGACCTCTTGGGAGTCCGCACGGGTAGGCACCACCACCCCGCCTATTTCCGCCGTGAAGCAGTAATGCGTTTCGGTTCGAAGGGTGGGGTAGCCGTTGTAACTATACTGAGACCTTAGAACTTATATCTCGAAGTGGGTGGCGCATTTACGTTGTAGATGTCTATGGGCTCCAGTAGTAACCACTTAACAACAGGTGGGCTGTGAGCTCGTCCATCCATCTAAGCAATAAATAAATAAAAAAAAACATATAATCGCTATAACCATCAGTGAAATATATAGATTATCTGTACAGTTCATAATTTATTTCAAGTACCTTTGCATATGTTGCGTGACAATTGTGTTGTTATAAAGTTAAATTATTTTATTAAATTTTATGCTCCTAGCTTTTGAATTTTAAGAACATTAATTATACACACATATAGGTGCTAAAGAGTGTGAAAATTACATTAATAATTTGTACACAACGCGCTATGTGGGGCTATATGGAGTTAG